CCAATACTTTTTTTAAAATTTATTTTTTTGTTTTTCAAGTAATACTTGCCACAGGAGGAGGAACAAGAAAGGAGGGAGGCTACTGCTTGGTGCTGACGACATAATGCCATCAAGTGAGAAAGAAAAGGTAAAACTCAAACCTGCTGCGGCGCGGATTCGTAGGAAGGCTGTTCTGGCCCAGGGTCCAGGGCTCGCCGGGACAGCTTATTTCCTAGTGCTTCTTGTAACCCTGAGGTGCCGGTGCGGGGAGTGAGGAGGGGTCAGGGGGCTCTTGACGCAACCTCTGATGTGCTGCGCCTTCCTAGGAGAGTCTTACATGTGTTGAGATTTCACAAACTGTGCGAGTTGTAAAATACCAGCTCTATAAGAAGCTAGGCTATGTGATGGCATATTTTTTCAGTAGCTTTATCACAATATTCACAATGGAGAATTATATGACATGGTAGCAGAAATAGGCATTTTTATGTGTTGCTTCTATTTTACCTCAAATTGTAGATATAGGGTAATCAATAAAATCCATCCATGCCTTTCACACACTAAAACAAAAAAACGAAACAAAAAAACCCTCAAGTTTTAATTTATTTGTCTCCTCTCCCAAGGAGACTAATGTTTTAATGAAAAAAGGTATTATAAACATGATTTAAAGGCTCCTAAAATCCAACATGGTAAATAGGCAATCAATTGCTTTAAATAAGTTTCCAGGCCTAAATGAATTATCCATAAAAGATATTATATAAGTGATCATAAAGGTGGTTAGTCACCTTCGGGAAGCCAGAGAAAAATAAGAAATGCCTGCCTCTAATGATTTTTTAGTGGATTCCTTAGGATTTTCTGTATGTTTGTGTTATCTGTGAATATAGTTTTACTTCTTCCTCTCAAATGTAGATGTGTTTTACAATGTTTTGTTAAACACTTTTACATATCATGCTGCAGAAGTAGTTCAGGATCCGCTGTCAGTTAAACTGTCCAAAATTAAAGCAGCAATAGCTAACTTATCCCCTGTTGTGTGTGTGTGTGTGTGTGTGTGTGTGTGTTTAAAACTCCGTCTTGGTCTACTGCCCAGGCTGGAGTGCAATAGCACAATCTTGGCTCACTGCAACCTCTGCCTCCCCGTCAAAGTGATTCTCATGCTTCAGCCTCCCAAGTAGCTGGGATTACAGGCACACACCACCAGGCCCAGCTAATTTTTGTATTTTTAGTAGAGACGGAGTTTCACCATGTTGGCCAGCTGGTCTCAGACTTCTGACTTCAAGTGATCCGCCCATCTCGGCCTCCCAAAGTGCTGGGATTACATGTATAAGCCACCGCACCCAGCCCCTTTTTATTGTATCCCTTTATAATTAATCATTTTTATGGTAGTCAGAGTGATCTGGTCTTGGGGTTCTTTGATCATAAACCAAAGAAACAAAACCTGCATAACTTAAGCCAGAAAATAAAAAAAATGACAGACCCCATAAACTGTAACAATTTGCCAAAAAGTAAAAAATAATTTATGGGCTGCATAAACTGTAACAATTTGTATTGTCTTTGTGTCACTTGATTCAAGATTCAAATGTAACTGTATCTAATTGGTCAGGCTTAGATCACATACTTAGAGCGTATGTACTATAGTGATGAAACGAAGGGTATGTTGGAAAGTCTCTTCAGGAGGTTTTTATTAAAAATTATTTTTTTTGAGGCATGAGATCTTGCTATGTTGCCCAGGTTGGAGTGCAGTGGCTGTTCACAGGCTCAGTCATTAACACACTACAGCCTTAAACTCCTGGCTTCAAGTGATCTTCCCGCCTCAGCCTCTTGAGTAGCTGGGACTACACCATGCCATCACAGCTGACAAGGTTTTTTTTTTTTTTTAATTTTTTAATTTTTGAGATGGAGTCAGGCTTTGTAACCCAGGCTGAAGTGTAGTGGTGTGATCTCGGCTCACTGCAACTTCCACCTTGCGGGTTCAAGTGATTCTCCTGCCTTGGCCTCCTGAGTAGTTGGGATTACAGGCATGCGCCAGACATTCCACTAATTTTTGTACTTTTAGTAGAAATGGGGTTTCACCATGTTGGCCAAGCAGATCTCGAACTCCTGACCTCAGGTGAACCGCCCACATTGGGTTTCCAAAGTGCTGGGATTATAGGCGTGAACCACCACGCCCAGCCTGGAACCTCTTTTTAAAGAGGCATTTACTTTTTACTCAGTTGGAACATTCATTGGAAGAGCTCTCCAAATAAACTGGGGTTCAATTAAAAAGGGAATAGACCCTGCATTACTATCAATGTCAAATATTCACTATAAAATGCAAATTTTCTTTGCTTAAAGACTTCCTTGGCTCTTCATTACCTTAGTATGGCAATAAAAATTACTCATTTCCTAGCATTTACCCTCATCTCCAACTCAAAATTTATTGAATATACCAGACCACGTGCTAGAAACTAATAGAGAAATAAGCAATCTTAACCTGGAGACATTCATAGTCTAGTGACAGAGGCTTGATCGTACGACCACTTCTTGATTGCGTGACGTGTATAAAGCAGAGTTTACTGGCAATAGCTGGGGTGGCCATAAGTCCTTGTTTTTCTTATTATCCTGGAATCATTACTATCAGCACAAACCCTCTTTTCCAATCTCAAAAGTTTCTCAGTTTGGACATAAATTATAGGTCATTCTAATAATAATAATACAGTGTTTTCTCAGTTAACTCTCAAAACAATTCTGTGAAGGAATGAGATGTTACATTCCTATTAGATAATGTGAGTAGAGCTTAATAAAAAGACTATTTGCAAAGGTGTGTGCAAAATGAAGGGAAACCATAGAGGTTTACTCTGGGTCACCCTAGGGAAGGATACTGGCTGCATCCTTTGGTTGAGGGATGCAGCCAGCCTGCCATGGTGCATAGCAAGGCAGGGGATAAATAATGGTATTCCTTCCTCTTTGTTCCATGGCTGTTGCTTCCCATTGCCTTAACTCAACTGGAAGCTAGAGGGAAAGAAAGTCCATTGAGTTAAGGCTCCAAAGGACAGACAGCGGGATGGAGAGTGGATCTGCCTAACAGAACATGTCCTCCACCAGGACTCACTGTTACTACATATTTTACAATAGAAAAAAAATGAGATGAAAAAAGTTTAACTTACTGAATATAACATAGCTAAGAAGTGATCATCTGTAGCTGAAGTGCCAGGTTCTCCCCACTTTACCACTCTCTAAGGCCCCCTACATTCTAGCAATGCCAGAACACCCGCCCTCCCCATAGCTTCCTCACATCCCAAATGAGATGATGGAATATGTAACGTTAAGTTTTGCTGATTAGAATAAACGAACCTACCCACCAAGGTAGGGCATTCATATTCTTATAATCTAAGCAGATGAGTTTACAGCATGCACATTCACAAAATAAATAAGTAAAAAATAAAAATTTAATAAATTCTACAGTCCGTTCTGGTCAATATAACACACAGTTCCTTTGCAATTGCCCTTACATCCGGTTGGCAGTGTGTGGAGCCCTCTTTTCCCAGGCCTTACTTAAGGCCTCTGGTCCATGGGCAGTGCGGCTGCTGTTTGATCCCCCTTATGGAGAAAGAACAAAATGTCCACACATCAGAGCTGCAGAAGTATTTTCGTTCGTCTTCTCCCTCTCTTTGCACAGCACCCATCTGTGTGTAATCTTATTATTACATATTTTTTTGAGACAGGGTCATCTCACTCTGTCACCCAGGCTGGAGTGCAGTGGTGCGATCTTGGCTTACTGCAACCTTCGCCTCCCGGGTTCAAGCGATTCTCCCACCTCAGCCTCCATAGGAGCTGGGACTCAGGCAAGCGCCACCATGCCTGACTAATTTTTGTTATTTTTCCTAGAGATGAGGTTTCATCATGTTGGCCTGCCTCAGCTTCCCAAAGTGCTGGGATTACAGGCGTGAGCCACCGCACCCGGCCCATCTATGTGAAATCTTAATTCAACACTTATTGAGTGCCTACTGTATGTTTGGCATAAAATGATGGTCACTAACTTCAAAAGATTTGGAGTCTAGAAGGCAGAAATTGTCTAAAACTGAGGAGGATGGTGCTCTGCACGTCTGAGTCTGCCCACACACTGAACAAACCAGGCTCTGTGTCGGCGCCCCTCACCTTTTTTTCATGGCCACTTTTCTGGCGGTTCCACGGCTGTCCTGCCAGTGGAATTCAGTCGGGGTGGCCGAGCCCCTGGCCCACCTACAGGAGCAACCCAGCATCAGTTCCACGGCAGCCCGACTGGAGACTACTCACCCTTAGGCCAAGGCTGAGCGGGTGTAGGAGTCTTGAGGCCCACCTGAGGCGGGGGCCAGCGGGGAAACTCAAGGCCCCCGGGGGATCTGGGTGTTTGAAGATTCAGGTCAGACTCTGAGGCGCCCCAGTCTAAAGAGGCGGTTTGTCTTTTCCCTAATTCAGGGGGCCAGGTTGTCCCTGAGGGCGTCGTCCGTCCGGAGGGCAGGTCACAGCCCTTCCCCTACTCACCACACTTTCCCTGTGCTTCCACCTAGCTGATTCCCCACCCTGTCCGTCGCTGTCCTGTCACCTTGTTGCCGTGGGCCCCCTCTCCCGCCCACGAGGGGCCGCTGGGATCCACAGCTCATCTGGCACACCTTGCCACCCGCCCGCACGCACTGGGACCCTGCCATTCCGCCGGCCACTCAGACAGGCAGGAACACCCCAACATTCGCTGGAAAAAAATTCTTCCCCACGGTGGCGGGGTCCCCAGTCCCACGCGCCCAGAGTCGCACCCACTCCAGCCACCCGCCTGGCGCCGTCGCCGCGCCCTCCAGCCTCAGCCCTAGCGCTCACGCCTCGGGGTCGCCAGGTCTGTCGCCAGCCTAATGAAGTCGGCTGATCCCCCACGTATGACCACTCCAGTGACACCCGGGGAACGCCTCGGTCCCCACGCTGTAGAGCAACCAATGGCTGCCTTAATTCTTCAGCAGAGGCGTTTTTTCTTCGTCCCAAGCAGGCGGCGGTTGGGTCGCCCGCAGGCAGCAGCGACTACTACGGCCACTTCCTCTCCAATGCGATCCCCTGTCAGGTCCCGTACCACACTGACAGCTTCCAGCTGCCTGTCCTTGAGTCTCTCTTCTCAGCGGGAGCGGTGGGCGACCGAGGTGCGGCCGGGCGGCCCCCGCGTGGGAAGGAAAGACTTGCGGAGGGGAAACTCTTCACTCATGGGGGCGTGGGGGCCGCCCGGCCGCACCTCGCTGCCCACCGCTCCGCCAGGCGGTCTGCAGCCCCCTCCAGGCCGGCTCCTCCGAGTGGGGCGTGCTAGACCTGGGTTAACTTTCCGCCCGGTGCTGTCTCTGCGACCCGTCTTCTTCCAGCCGCCAGTCCTTCTCCCTGCGGCCGCTGTAGCCGCCAGCTTGGCTGAGCGCGTGGCGGGCCCCGGGGCTGGGAGCTCGCGCCCAGGCTTTTACTCGGATTCCAGCACCTGCTGGAGCGGGGGGTGGCGGCCAGCACCCAGGCTGGGGGGCCTCTCCTCGCCATCGGAGAGGGTCATATGGGGGCGGGAGGTCAAGCCCTGCTGCCTGCCCCGCAGAGCCAGGCTCGGAGTCCGCCCACCATCCTCCCATCCTCCCGCCCACCACCGCGGCCGGGCGCGCAGGCTCACACCCCTTCCTGGGGAAGCGAATGGTCCCTTCCAGGCGGGTGGCCATGTTGCTCTAATAAAGCGGGAGGGGCGGCGGCGTGGGGGGAGCAGATGCCGCTGGCTGAGAGCGGGACTCGGGCAAGCAGAGCGCAGCCGCGAGGGAGGCGCGAGGGAGGCGAGTTGGATCCCGAGCGCTAGCAGCAGCCGGAGTCGGCGGAGAGCACCCAGGCGCAGCCGAAGCCAGTGCCGCAGCCGCTATGGCCGTGGCCGTGGGGAGACCGTCTGTGAGTGCTGGGGCCTCGCCTCCCTCGCCTTCTGGCGCCGGGTGGTCTCTGCTCTGGGGCTGGTGCGGTGGGGACCACGGGGGAGCCGGGCGGGGGCTCGGCCCCAAGGCGGCGGCGGCGACTGTGGGTGTGTGCATGAATTTGGGCGCGCATCTGGGGTCGGGGCGAGGAACCCAGGTGCTCAGCTACGTGATGCAGCAGTGGATCGCCTCGTAGCGCCCTGCTTCTGGGGATGCGAAAGAAAAAGGACCCCTCTCCTCTGTTCCCTTTAAAAGGATTCTTTGAGGCGCGGCGTGTCTCAGCCTCCTCCCTCTGCCCGCGCACTTCTTCCCTCGTGACAGCCAGAAGGGCGCCGGGTTCGGGGCTTTCCTCCCGACTCCCCCTCGCCTAGGGGTGCTCAGGGCATGGGAATTGCAAGCTGAAGCGCTGCGTGTGGCATGGCAGTAGAAGCGGGTCAGAGGGGTGGGATTTCCGTGGTGGCTTCCCCAGCGCATTGTGAGATCGCGGACAGCCTCGGGCATCCACCCGGGTGAGTGGGCCCTGCCCAGGATATGGACAAAGCCCCGGATAACACACACAAAGTTTTCTAGAGCTTCCCTTGTGGTGTGGGTGGAAGGACTGAAATGTTCTGCGGCTGAAAGGCCGGGGGCGGCTGTCCGAGGAGGCGGAGACGCGAGGAAGAGGAAGGGCGGGCGGGTGCGTGAAGAATCGAGTGCCCCACGGCGGGAGGGAGGAGAGTGGGAGGGAGGGGATACCCTTGCCCCGAGTGTGTGGGCCAGGGCGCCGCGCCTACTGGGGTACAAGATTCGGTCCGCGCCTCGGGGCCAGCCCGGAGGGGAGCGGAACTCCGAGGGTGCGGTTCAGTGGCCTCTCCGCATCCTCGTGTGAAAGGCGGAGGAAGGGGCGGCGGCGGCCTTTGCTTTTAATTGAAAGGAGCCAAGATGGGTGGGAAAGGCGGAGTCCTGTTTTCCCTTTCGCCGTTTCTTCGTCGGTGTTCACAGTCCACTCTCGCCTTACTGGCTTTGGGGGAGCTTCGGGCGAGGTCCTTCCCCGTCTACCACCTCCTCTTTCTTTCCTTTCTCTTCTTCCCTTTCCCACAACTGTGCAGCTGCAGGTGGTGGCTCGGGAGATTTTGTAGTTACAGAGGAAAGACTTACTGAGATACTGGAAGCTCCGAAACCCCAGAAATGCAAGGCTGTGCTCTCAGGCTTTCGACTCTTCCCACTCTCCCCGCCTAACTCCTCTCTAGATATGCGCCTTTTGCACCCTATCGCTTCGAGAGAAGTTCATGGGTCCCTTTGCTGATTCTAATTCGATTTGGTGGCTGGGCTTCCCGCGGTGCGTTCAAAGACGTTTTCAGCATTCAGAAAACACAGTGGTAGTATCGAATCTTAACTGTCTTTTAGGCCTTTTCAATTCTACGATTTAATGACATGCTCTTCTAAGAATTCTAATCTCCTCTTGCACATAAATTGTGCTCTTGATAATTAGTGATCACATGTAGATTATTGTTACTGAGGGAATTTGCATAGTCTCTGGGCTAGTCCTTTTATTTTTGGTGAGAAAATTGAGGTCTATAGAGCTCAAGTTTATCTGGTTAAATTGCTCTCCCCGGTGCTCCCCATTGTGCTTATTACCAAGGCATTGATTCCGACAACTAAAATAATACCTGCTTTAGATACATTGACAAGCGTTTAGGAATGCAAATATTTTCTGGGGGTGTGTGTCTTTTTCAGTAATACCTATTGTTGCTGGTGCATTCTTGAGGGTTGGAGGAGGTGGAAAAAACAATCAGCTGCACATTTTCTACAAATTAGTTAATCTATGTCAATTAAATGGAAACAATATGTGGATTTAAGGTTTAGCTGTGTGGCCATAATCATATCCAACACCAAGTGGGCCAACCATATGTGAGCTTAATCCCACAGAATTCTTATGTTAGACCTCCATCTTCAGATAATAGAGGAGTTTTTTTTTTAAGTTTATGTGTACAGAAGGAGTGACTTCTTTCTGCGCATTCCCTGGAATTAAAATTAAATTACAGTCCAAAGACAGAAGGCTTTTCTTTTGGAAACCGAACGTATGGGTGGTCAGGAATTGACTATAAAGTTGAAAAGTCTACAGAAAATGTGTGATCATGTTTCACAAAGAACTGTTGAATCCTTTAACTTTGTTCATTGGGTTACTGTCTTAAGGGTGGTCTCTGCAGTTATGGCTTTAAAACAAAGTCAGTGAATGGGGAACATGCTTCAGACACAGCTCCATGGAATCTACACTGCTTCTTTAGCGTTCTCTGCCTCCCCCATTTCTTTACTTATTCTGTGATTTCCCCAAAAGAAAGGAAGGTGCGCTGAGGGAAAAGAACCACTTCAAAGTTGATTTATGTGTGAATGGAGTTTCCCTAGTTACTCCTTTAATTAGATTTTTTAAAACAAGTTATTTCGGACAACAGGACCATATCCCCGTTCCTTATAAACTGACTACCTCTCCCCTCCAGACTGAAGAAAAATGTAATCTGAATAACTTACCCAGAATTTTTGATATTCTTGAATGGGAATATCTGAGTGTGATATCCCAGGTAAATATGACATTTTAGTGGGGAAAAAAAAGCTTACTTGTCAAATGCACTATTTTCTGTCTTGTGAAATAGTTATATTCTGTTACAAACCATTCAAACATCGAGGCTAAATTCAGATGTTTCTTAAGTGGATTTATTGTTGACTGCAAAACAAAAGCTACGATTTAGTGTGATACTGTTTCAGTTTTAATTTTGATCCCTAGCTTCTCCATTTCCCCACTGATGGTTTTTGGGCTTAGTCCTAAGGACCCTGAAGCACGTCTGCTGTTTGCCTAGTGTAACTGATGATTAGCAAGAACCTTTTACCCCCAAGGGATGTGTCTGCATTTTGGATGAATTAGTATTTTTGCGTCCAAGTCCCAGGACAGCTATTATCTTTATTTTAAACAGAGCATGGCAATTGACTCTACTTGGGAATCAGGCTTTAAGTAGCTGATCGACTGTCTTAAGCTGTGGTGGTCATCAGTTTATAGATTCTAGGAGTTGAAAGGAACTTTAGAGGTCACTTGGGTTAGCCTGCTCCCCAGTGCAGAAATATTTCTTACTTTATCCCTAACAAAAAGTATGTGTTTAAACTTTTCTGGTGGTGCAGATTTCGCTATGATATCCTTCAGTAAATGCACTTAATTGGTCTTTTATCTGTTGAGCTGAAGGAAATAGAAAACCAAGTTTCCAGTTGCTTATTTAACACAATTTATTAAGCACCTGCTATGTGTCAGGCACCATTCTAGGTGTTGGGGATATAGCAGTGGACAAGACATTTTCTTCTTACCTGGAGCTTTATTATTTGAGAGATTTGGTGTATTAAAGTGACCAACTTCAATGTAAATGTTTAAATCATTTGGGAGAGAAGGAATTATATGCCTATTGCTGACTCAGCAAATATGATTCAGGTGAAGGATCATATCTGTCTGGAAATAATTATAGATGATTCCCAAAGACGAGGTCCATCTTCAAGGGCAGGGAGTGTGGGAAGGGGAGGAGTACTGCCAATAAAATGTTATTTTCTCAAGTTATAAAATTGCCATTTTTGTGACTTGAAGATGTGGCCCCAGATGGATGGCTGTGGTTAGTGTGCCTGGAGAAGCATGAGTGGAGCCCAGAAAGGTTCCGGGGAGGGGGAGGCACCTAAACAATAAAGAGGCTGTCTTCTCAGGTCGGTTTTCAGAAATTAGAACTCTTTGGTCAGTGATATAAATTATACACACTGAGGCTCTGTAAGCAATTATTAAGGAATGCAAGAAGCGTCTGAGGTACAATAATCTCTCCTTTTTAAATATTTTGAAAGCTGTTAATTTTATCTTTTAAATTATCTTCTTTAAAAATTATGCGTCTATACTACAGTGAAAAGTAAAGCCAAGGAATTGATTAAAAGAACAAAACTGCCCATATCCCACAATCTTGATATAACAGCTCTTAGGTGGTTGGTCTATTTCATCACTTTTTTTGAGCAAACCCATCATGTATAAACTGCTACCTAGAAACCAAACTGTGTGCCTGAATGAGTCCTGTGTGACCATTTGAATACTGTTAGAATGAAGGAAATGGATGCTTAGTGTTTGGGCATGAGCCATCCTATGTCTGTGAAAGGAACAAATGATTGTAGGACTCTGCTGTTTCCTTGATTTGGATGGCCTGCTTGATTGATTGCCAAAAGACCAAGTGTTTATACTCTACCCAATGATGATGTCACACTGAGCATGATCATCTTATTTAAACTGTAGAGCAGGCCACAGAGTTTCCTGTTCCTGTGTTTCTCCTTATAGGACTCTAAACTTGGTTGGGGTTAGATGCCGCATTTGGATTTTATTGTTTTATTGGGATCCATCTTTCATAGTCTTAGCTAGACCTGTCTCAAATGGGGTCAGCAAAGCTGAACCGTTATTTAAATGAAACCCAACAGATCAAAAGCTTCTTTCCTTTTTCCCAAGGAGATATACTTTGCAATATAATTGATACCCTCCCCCTTCCCCTTTTTAAATCTGGATTGACAGAAAACTCCCAACTAAACAATACTTCCCCTGACCCACTCATGCCTGCTGGCAGCCCATCAGTGCAGCTGCTGTTGAACATAAAACCAATATTTGGGCTAAGGTGATACAGACTTCTAAAAGGAATTTGCTGGGCGATCTAAAATAAAATTCATATTGTCTGAGGCCTGGCCTGAGATAAAAACCAGGAGTGTGTTCCCTGATATGACAAAGCCAAGGCACGAGAGCCACCTCTTTTTAGGATTGATGCCAGTGAGTGTGAGCACATTGCTCAAGGCAAATGGCACAGGAAGTCCATTTGTGTGGATACATTCTGCCCACCTGCTGAACTGTGACTGGGTGGGATGGAGTATGAAACACTGAGAGAGGGGTGGGCTGAGGTGGAGAGGTAGGAAAGAGACCATATTCTAAAAGGAACATCTTTGGTATCT